GACTAACTCAATTAACTCTAAGCAGAAAAAACATAAATTTTTACAAACCCCAAAAAGTACCCCAAAATACAACATATCCCCATATAACCCCGATCTGGGTGAACAACATATCCAAAAATCTCCCAGATCGGTTCAGGAATTTCCTGGAAGTCTTATTTTTGCCCCACCATGCACATGGTCCCATGCCCCAAAAAAATCCATACACTTGACGACAAAACACTGCTGGAAAATGTAAGATGGACGCTGCCACATGTTTGAATCTGTTCCAGTTAAAAGTCCAAGGGGCGGGGGGCGGAGCCTGACTGCTGAACAGATCAGACGTGTCTCGTCTGAGCTCCAGGATCTGGGCCAGAAAATCGGAGCCAACTCGGTGCCACATGCCGCTACCAACTCCAATTGGACCCCAAACTGTCCACAAGATGGGGACACACAAGATGGTACCACACATAATATGGTACAGCACCGGAGTAACCCGACCAAGGCCTGGGGCCTACGAGAGCTTGAGCCGGGGAGGGACGGCCGCCCCCCCGGGTCTCCGAACAGCGTCCTGCGATCCCCCCCCCCTTTGGACCGGTGGGGGTTATCCCGGTCCCCACGGGCGACCACCAATGTCGTCTGCCGAGCCCAAGCGCAAACAGGGCCGCTGAGCACAAACTGGACGGAGCGCTCCAAAATGGCGGACAGCGTGCAACCTCATGGGCAAACAAAGAATGTCCCACCGAGTCCTGCAGGGACCATGAGGTGGAAGTACTGGCTGGCAGCCCGCAAACCAACAACCTACCCTAAGCTACGAGAAACACCGACAAGCAGCTGTATGTCGGTAGACAAAGAGCGGGAATCGAGGAAATTCTCCCCGGACGCCAGTGGTACACACACCATGCAACCTTACTGCACAAGCACTCACAGACTGCAGCCGCCCAGAAGCTTCAACCTCGAACGTCTGCTCCAGTCGCGGCGGACCCGAAAGCACAGGAGGAAGCGACATACTGGGTTCCATGCCAGCACCTATGCGGCCTTCAAAGAAAGCACTCAACCCACGAGCCGCAGAAGCAGACCCACAGGAGTGTCCACGGCTACGAAAGAAGCCTGCCGGGTCTTTTCTACCGGGTCCCCAGAGACACTATATGCCCAATTCAAAGGCTAGACGCTTTTTCTGGACACTATGTTGGACACTTAGACGCTGCTCCAGTGTTACACATAATTAAACAAAACGGTACCAACAGACGCACAGACACCAGGACTAACACAGCAACAAACCAGTACAAAATAGGCAGAGACACACATATGCACAACCCAAGACACTACTCAAGACAGACACGCACTACCGCTGACAACTACAGTACACACAAGCCCTGACAAACTCATCTGATACTAACCAAGAAGACCCCAGACCTGTCCAGGAAAGTGAAGGCAGACTAACACCACACAATCTATGATGGCGCCCGAGGTAGACCAAGCTAGAGTTAAACCACTTTACCCAAGCGATACGCTAGAAACCGTACAACCATTTGCTTAGAACCTATACACGTGTAACTATTAACCAGGCAAATCTCAGTGAAACCAAATGTAACCTAAAATATACCTGTGTTCATGCTCCCACTGTCAAATCTGTCAATACTGGCGATGATTATAACAGGAGCACCACTTGCCTAAGCTTAATACTCTACTATTACCATTATAAAAATTGTGCAGACATTAATGTGCCATATGTGAAATATATGTTGTAATTGTGTACGTGACTGCTATTGTGGCACCACGGCTCATTTGTGAAATCTTGCACACAAAAATAAAGAATTTAAAAAATAAAAAGTCCAAGGGGCAGAAACAGTACTTTTGAACATGGGTTATTACAGGGCCCAAAGTCCCAGGGTAGGAGGCTGGCAAACAGGCCCCTCCAAACCCCCAAAAACCAGTGAAGTTGCTTTCATCGCAGAAGGTATAGTCCAAAACATCTGCGGTGCCAAAGGTTGCCTATGCCTGTGCTAGAGGAACCACGCAGGAAATCATAACAACTGTTCACGGAACCACACAGGAGATCTGAGGAGCCACTAGAGGAACCATGCAGGAAATCTGAATAGCTGCCAGAAGAACCGCGCAGGAGACCTGAAGAGCTGTTAGGAAAACTGTGGGCAGGGGCCTGCTAAGCATGGCATTTTATGTTGCACATCATTACAAACAACTTTTATTAAAATACTATACAGGGAATTATTCTCTTTGTAGCTTCCTCTATCAGGGGTTTTTCGACTACGTGTTTGACATCTGCCTTTTAGTCAATTCATTGTCGCTATTACTAAAACAAGTCATATTGTACTATTTCCCAGGCTACTAATATGAGCAATTATTTTCACTATATATGTGACACAAACTGTGAGCTAGAAGCTAGTTTATTTTAAAGTTACTCTTTTCACACTTATTGTTGCTTTTGTCTCATACACGAAGGGACTGTAAGTGTTTCCTTTTAAAACTGTTTGTTGTACCTTGTAACACTGGTTACAGTAAAAAAAAAAGTGCAGCTACAAAGTGTAACCGCAACTGTTTCCCTTATTTACCACTATAATGTCTTAAAGCATAGAACTTAGCAGGGATAACCATACAGATATCTTAGCCATAATTGTATATTCTTAGTAAGAGATCCTCTATTTAAAATATATAAATAATTGAGAATACAATATAAAATAAGGATTGTCTTGGAAGCAATTAAGTTTTGTCTTTTAGATATTTTATTAAATATAAATATAGACATATAAAATCCATTACAATAATTTATAGCAGAGTTTATAAGATTAAACAGGATGCTTGCAATATCTTAATAGATTAACATACCCTCCTGAACATGTCATCATGTCAGCCTCTCTGTCATTATAAGATGGAGTGTCTCTCCTCGGTCTGTTCCTTAACATTTTAAAGTACACCTGTTTATACCTTAGGTGTCTTCATTTTGGGGTCACCGTTGTTCATATATGAAAAAGTAATTTCTTTTGTTTTTGTTCATTTTAGGGACCTCCCTTAACTTGTCAAAAAGACAAGGCCATAACTAAAACGGAAGGGTGTACACATCATGGACATTTTCCTGACTTAGGGCAAGATGGCATCTTAAAGTCTGAACATCTTTATCTACTTAGGGTTACCACAGTATATTGTGTACTAAAAGAGTCGTAGCATAGCCTTGAAGCATCTTAAAGTCTGAACATCTTTATCTACTTAGGGTTACCACAGTATATTGTGTACTAAAAGAGTCGTAGCATAGCCTTGAAGCTTGTTGAAAGTAGGTAAAAGTTATTGCTTAAAGAAACATGTATGAAAAACAATATGTTCCATTTCTAACACCTTGTCCGTTTGCAATATCTCTTAAAGACAAAGTACAGAGTTTGAGAAATACAATATTTGCATTTGCCCATAACAAAAGTTACTTCAAACACTCCAAGCAGTTTTTACTGTGGTGTTCTACTGCCCCTTAGTGACCTAAATTAATAACTCACATTTCAGTGCACTGAATTTCATTTGGCAATCTAAATGTAACATTTTTATACTTCAGTTTATATGTACATTTGCTACAATCTTGCTATTTAAATCACAAAGTAAAAATAAAATGGAACATGTTTCTTTAAATAGCATACTTTTATTTTGTTTGCTTTTTAGAAAACTTTATTAAGCTAAAAGCATAATTGGAAAAAATTAAAAAGTGCAGATTTCAATAAAAAAATTACATTTTTATAAATTATACAGGTAACACCCCCCTTGCTTTCAAGCAGACAATAGGTTCTGTTGCTTCCTGGTTTGGTTAGCGTATTTACAATGAACTCAAGAGGAAGCAATTCCTCAGAGCACCTGCCTTGCAAAGACTTCTCACTGAGCTCTGTGATTGAACAGCCACAGAATGTCAGGGGTTATAAGGGGAGAACTTACAAAGACTGCAGACAAAAGATCTGCAGGTTTTGGACGCTGTTTTTAGATATAACTGCAAGGATAAAATGCATAATTAAATGCATGCACGTTTTCATTGGGGGTATTTCTACTAATGGTTATTTTTATTTATTTTGTATTTTGGCAATGGAGTGTCCCTTTAACTAACTAATTACGTACAGTGTCTCCAACCACTGGCAGACTCTTTGTTTTACCTTTTAATATCTCTTTTACTCTCATATTCACACCTTCAAGATTCTGGATTCAACCTGAAGTGGTCCAGTGGAAGTCCCATAAGCCCAGCGTTTAGTGTTATATACAAGAAAAATGACACAATTATTATTATTATTTTATTATTTATATAACGCCATCAGATTCCGTACAATAAGACACAGACAAATAAAATATGGGTATGGCTGTGTTATTTATTTGGGCTTTAAACATTTAAAATAGTAAATAGCATTTTAAAAAACCTTCCTTAAAAACTAATTTAAATATAATATATGTTTATATTATTATTATTAGAATATAATAATATAATTATTTCCTTAAAACACTTACATTTTAATTAAAAAGCCATTCCACCCTAACCAATAGTGAGACTACCAATCACACAAGTTCTGTTTACCAAACCCATTGTCAAAATTGTGAGTTTTAATTCCCAAATACATGTACACCCTTAAGAAGAAAATGTCCCTGAGAAATATGCTTTGGTCACCTCTGTTTACTGACTCAATTTTCGTGGTCTTTACCATTGTGTCATTAACATAGCTGAAAAGGCAGAAGAAGTCTGAAAAAATTACATTTAAATAACTTTTCACCTATATTTATAGGAATTCTTTCCAAAATTGGAAGTGCTTTAAACAGTTTTTTATTTTTTTGCCAGACTTTTTTATGCACAGAATTGACATTATGCAACCTGGAACTTAGTTCTGGACTGCCAATGTCACATGTGCTAAAGGGTCAACTAGCCCCCCAGCACAAACTTACAAATATCTCTGGATGTGCTCTATATGGTCACATCTGACTGAAAACTAAAAAAAATTTCGTTTACTGCATGAACAAAAACAAAAGTGATTTAACTCCTAAATGGCATAGAATTGAGCAGTGAGACTTCAGTGGCGTTATTTATACACCAAAACTGGTTAATTAAGCTAAGGTTATGTTAGTGCTTAGAGTATCCCTTTGTCATGTATTCATCCGCACATAAAAATGTGGTTAATGGCATTTACTGTCCTGACAGGAAAAGTTGTGCCGAGCAACTTTACCGTCCTGACAGGAAAAGTTGTGCCAAGCAGCAATCATGCACATGCAAACCTGGTAAGTACTTTTGGGGTCAAAGGCTGGTTACAACCAATCGGATCCACAGGAGGGGTATATAGGCCCAGTTTTCCTCTTGCTGAGTACCTTGTCGTGGTTTCATGCATATGGTTATCCGAGAGTGCGTTCCTGATCTTGATTTTCTGGTATTTGACTTTGGCTTTCTTTGACTTCCCTGATATCTGGTATCCTTGACTTTTGTCTTTCCCTCATTTTTGTGTCTGATTCTCTATCCCTGACCTCGGCTAGTATTTTGACTATTCTTGGAGACGTTAAGTCCGGCCATTCTAAGGTCCGGTTATACATTATCCTTAGTCCTAGGTGTCACACAGTACTGCGTGCTGGATCAACTTGTAATCCTGACACTCTTTAACTAAACCTAAATTATCTTTGACCCTGCATATACACAGCTGCATACACTCAATATACTCACAAATTCAAACACAATACAATAATTAGAAATATGCACATACATTTATACATAAGCAGTTGTCAAATATCTACAAGTTTTTCAGGCATAAAAACATTAAATTCACTTTATCTGCCTCTTTTTGGTGGGGGGTGAGCATTGGGCACCCTAGAATTCTATACGGAAAAGGATCAGCACTCTAAAAAAGTAAACACAAAATGTAGAATATATAAAAATAAGGCAGCACATAAAAAATGGTAGAGCTCCCTCTAAGCCCCACAGGTAAGTAAAAATTAAATCTCTTTATCTCCTCTTTTGTTTAGAATGATATGTCTGCAGGCACCTGACCTGTAAATCCTAGTCCTGGCCACACTTTTCCCACACTGACCGTATGACACGCAATGCAAACTCCAGTGCTACATTCTTTTTTAGTGTCCAACTGCATATTCAGTTTGCTGTGCAAATCTACAGATGAACACGTCCACTAGGTGGTTCTAATGCAGCCAAACTGATACCGCCTGGCCGTGTATAAAAGCATAGGGTCGTATGTTGTACCTTGCTCTTAGGACAAAATGTTTTACCTTGATTTTACTAATAAACAGGTAGGTGATTAAGCCCTACATGGATACTTGTTTATTAGCCATGTTTCAGTGTGCAGATGACACAAAACTTTGTAAAGTAATAAAATGTGAGCAGGATATTGCTTTGCTGCAGAGGGATTTGGATAGATTGGGGGACTGGGCACTAAAATGGCAGATGAAATTTAACATAGAGAAATGCAAAGTTATGCACTTCGGGGTCAAGAATGCACAAGCAACTTACAACCTAAATGGTAGTGAATTAGGGATATCCACACGAGAAGGATTTGGGAATTGTTATAGACAACAAATTAGGCAGCAATATGCAATGTCAATCTGCAGTTGCTAAGGCCAGTAAGGTTTTGTCATTTATAAATAGGGGCATAAATTCTCGGGATGAAAATATAATTTTGCCTTTTTATAAATCGCTGGTAAGACCACACCTTGAATATGCTGTGCAATTTTGGGCACCGGTTCTAAAGAAGGATATCATGGCAATAAAAAAAAGTGCAGAGACGAGCTACAAAATTAATAAAAGGAATGGAGCATTTTAGTTACGAAGAAAGGTTAAAAAATGTAAATCTCTTTAGTGTGGAAAAACGGCACCTCAGAGAGGATATAACATTATACAATTTTTTCCGGGGCCATTATCTGGAAATCTATTCATAAACAGGGCTATACATAGGAGATGAGGTCACGCATTTAGGTTGGAAGAAAGGAGATTTCATCTAAGGCAAAGGTCTTACAGTAAGAGCAATAAGGATATGGAATTCTCTGCCTGAAGAGATGGTTTTTATCAGAGTCCATACAGATGTTTAAACTGCAATTGGATAAATACTTGCAAAAACATAACATACAGTTATATCATTTCTAATTAGTGGGGTAATAGCTGCTTGATCCAAGGAGACATCTGACTGCTGTTTTGGGGTCAAGAAGGAATTTTTTCCTAGTTTGTTGCAAAATTGGAAGCGCTTCAGATTAGGTTTTTTGCCTTCTTTTGGATCAACAGCAAAAACATATATGAGGAAGGCTGAACTTGATCTTTTCAGCTATGTAACTATCTAACTATGTTAGATAGTTACTAATGTTACAATGTTACTAATGTTCTCTGGAGTATGTGACCCAGGCTTGGGTTATTTATTTTAAGTATTTCTGATTACCTGATCTTTGTGTGTTCCAGGCTATTATTAATTATACTTAAAATTGTCCCAACTGATATTACAAACCATACTTTACTATGAGAACAAGTAAGAGCTTACATTCTGCCCAAAAGTAAACACTGGCTCAATAAATCAAGCTGTTTAAAAGCTGAACTGAGCAGATCCCTCCATGTAGGATCTGCTCAGTTCAGCTTTATTTTTCTGTAACTTCTTTAGTGCAGTGTGAAACGACAAAGGGACAGTATTTTTGTTCTCAGCAGATGTAATGCATGTAGTGCTTTTTACTTTGTTTTAGTCTATAAGTTGGGACCTATTCAAACTATTACATTGTTGCTCCTCTGTCACCTATGGTGACTGTTCATTTTACTTCCCTCCTGGATATGGATAGGTCCTGATAGCCTAGGACAGGAGTAGGCAACCTTTTAGCAGCACTGTGCCGATATAGGATTGTGATGTCCCGTAGCGTGTCGATCCTATTTTTTTAAATTGAGGTGTGTATGCTGCCGTATTCTGCTTGTGTTATTTTTACTGTAATTGCTTTCTATCTTTATATTTGTGCGTATATGAGCTATTATATTGTATATGTCCATTAGTAGTTTGTGGTATCATGTATGATACATATGAATGTGGGCTGTGTATGGGGGCTGCTTGTGGAATTGTGTGTGGATGGATATGTCACATTGTGTGTTTGGTAGTGTTTGGGGTATTGCATATGAGAGACTGCATGTGGGTTTGTGTGCATGTATGTGGATTGTTGTGTTTGTGGGGATTGTGTGTTGTGTGTGTGTGGGCTGTTCATATTATTTGTATGAGGGGAGGGTTATTCTGCAGCTCTGTGTATATCTAGCAGTTTGGGTGGGTTCCCTGGGTTCCAGTAGGGACCATGCTGGCAAGGTACAGGTCAAGGACAGGAGCTGCGATAGCTGTTAAGGAAGTGTTGGGAGGAAGTGATCTGAGATTACTTCCTCTACATGCTGCAATGCATAAATTGAGGATTGTCCTTCACCACCTCTTCGTATTTGCAGATATCTGAAGTTTTACTGGGACTCCTGATAGGTCAGAGCCTGTTTGGCTCTAGCAGCCTTGAGTGCCGTGCAAAGACACCTCGAGTGCCGTGCATGGCACTAGTGCCGTAGGGTGCCTACCCCTGGCCTAGGACATGGCTAGGCAACATTTGGCTCTCCAGATATCATAGACTACATCTCCCTTGATGCTTTTGCCAGCATTATGGCTGTAAGAGCATAATTGACAATTGACATCTGGAGTGCAGAAAGTTGCCTATTCCTGGTCTAGGGAATAGAACAAAAAGTGCAAAGTGTAGCTGTTCACCTGCCACATTGACATTTAATTGTTTTGTAGGTTGTACCTGAATAATACAGGCACAGGGTAATATAACTTTGCACTCTGTGGTATTAGGGTTTGCATCAAGTAAATAAGAGGTATTTTAAAGGAGACAATACACTAACCACATGCCTCACATAACTTCTCACAGTCATTCTGTGTAAGAGCCTGATAAACAGACTTTACATATTGCTCTGTGGTGTATATATAACTGGAAAGAGTGGGGCCTGGGCAAAAATACTGCCTTGTCCTTCCTATGGATAGGACTGTTTGTGTCATGTATGTGCTTCATACCACTTACCACTTTATACCAAGTACGACATACTTCATCTCTTTAAAATATTAGTAATCATTATGGACATCCTATTCCAAAAACATAGCCATTAAAGGACCACTATAGGCACCCAGACCACTTCCTCCACCTAGGATTAACCCTTTCTGCTGTAAACATAGCAGTTTCAGAGAAACTGCTATGTTTACTTCAGGGTTAATCCAGCCTCTAGTGGCTGTCTCATTGAGAATGCTTTCCTATGAGACTGGCTGAATGCGCACTGTGCAGCCATTCTGTTTCTTCACCCTCTGCATGGAGACACTGAACTTTCCTCATAGAGATATTGATTGGCCAGGGCTTTGTTTGACTTGTGCTGGCTCTGCCTCTGATCTGCCTCCTTGACAGTCTCAGCCAATACAATGCAATGCAAAGGGGGGTTGAGGGGAGGACGGGTGGGATAGATAGTGTTTTTATTACTATATACATGTTTGTGTTCCTGACTCTATAGTGTTCCTTTAAGGTCAGGCACTGATGTTGTAGATGGTACTTGTTTTTCTCTCCTTAAGTTTAAAGGGCAATCTAGACGTGGACCCCTTGCTCACAGTGCCTAGAGGTATATTGGCTATACCTCACTGATGATACCTTACAAGGTTAAAACAATCGTCTGGGGTTGCCGTATCTCTCGTGCAGAGGGAACTTGCTGGTATTTAGGATCTGGACTGCTCGTACGGGTGGGACCAGTCTGATGTGCTTCAGATATGTCAAGCATGTCAAACCCAAAGTTTGGCACAGGACACATAAACAAGGTTTAAGTTTATGTGGGCCGAAAAAAAAAAAAAAACCTTAAATTTTCATAGAAAAGTAGGTTTATTTTAAAAAGTACAGTATAAAAAAAGACACACACTGACTGACATACACACACACACACACACACACACACAGTCACTAACAGACAGACACAAACACATACAGACACACACACACATACAGACACACACACACTCACAGACACACACACACACTCACTGACAGACACACTCACTGACAGACACACACACATACTCACTGACAGACACATACACACACTGACAGACACACACACATACTCACTGACAGGCGCACACACACACACACACACACTCACTGACAGGCCACACACACACACACACACACACATACTCACTGACAGACACACACACACTGACAGACACACACACACAGACAGACTGACAGACACACATACACCCAGACGCCAGAATCTGAACCGAACTATCTGACAATTATGGTCCACATGATTGAGGCACACACACAGACCCACACAGAACACACACTAAGACGCTAGCCTTCTCAGCAGGCCAACAACATTAAATACCAGACCGCATGACTGTGTCTACTAGTAACCGGAAATAAGTTGGAGCACACAACTGTGCAACGGTCTAAAATGCATAACGGATATATACTCCTCAGTTAATAGTTCAATAGTTTTCTAACGCGCTCCCTTTGTTATACTAGCTCGTAACGGCATGTTCAGGGCCGGTGCAAGGACTTTTGCTGCCCAAGGCAAAAAAAAAATTGCCGCCCTCCCCCCTTATGTCCTGCCCACCATGTGACATCACAATGCCCTGCCCATATGCTCTGCCATATGGGCCAACACCAGTCTTCACAAAGTGTCTTTTATCTGAAAAGACAGTGTGTTTACATTAAAAAACCTACAGGCACAGGCTATAAACACCAGAACCACTACATTATGCTGTAGTGCTTCTGGTGACTATAGTATCCATTTAATGTGAGACAAATTAGATATTAGTGCCACTAATAATATATTGGATTGCCTACTTACCACCAGATGAGGACAAGAGGCTGATGATGGGCTCAGTCTGGCTCCACAGGTATAGTGTATAAAAGGCTCTCTGGAGACTGTTTGTAACAGTGCTCACAACAATTAACGAACAGGAAGCAGCTCCATTTTTTAGGGCCCCTTACACAGCTCAAGGTCTGGGCCCCCGGGGCTTGACCGTGAGTATGCCTACAATGACCACCCATAAATCCAGCTACATGGCCCACCCATGAGTTCTCTCACAGGAAGTGGAGTGTATATGTGTAGGGGACAGGCCCGGACTGGCCATCGGGCAAATGCCTGGTGGGCCGCGGTGGCCGTGGGGCCGAGGCCGGCAGGGGAGGTCCCAGGAAAAGTTGTGCCGAGCAGCAACCTAATCCACAGAAGGGTTAATGCTGAGCAGCAATAATGCAAATGGGAACCTGGTAACTGACTTTGGGGTCAAAGGCCGGTTACAGCCTATCAGATCTAGAGGAGGGGTATTTAGGCCCAGTTCTCATCCTGCTCAGTGCCCTGTCGTGGTTTCCCTTGTGGTTGTCTGAGAGCGTGTTATTTATTCTGGTATTTCTGGTTATTTGACTTTGGCATTATTTTTAACTTACCTGTTTTCTGGTATCCCTGACTCCTGGCTTTTCTTTATCGTTATGTCGATTTCTGTATCCCTTGACCTCGGCTATTCCTGACTATTCTTTGGTACGTTAGTCCGGCCATTCTAAGGTCTGGTACACGTTATCTATCAGTCCTCTGTGTTACACAATTCTACGTGCTGGGTCATACTGTAATCCTGACAGAGTTGACACGTTGCAGGACATCAAGGGAGAGGTCCGGGGAGGAGGGATATATCTGGGTGTCATCAGTGTACAGGTGGTATTGGAATCCAGATGAGATAATAAGTTTGCCAAGAGAGGCAGTGTAAAGAGAAAATAGAAGGGGACCAAGGACAGAGCCTTAGGGGACTCCAACTGAGACAGGACGAGTGGTGGAGATATCATTAGAAAAGAAGACACTGAATGAGCGTTGGGAGAGATAAGAGGAAAACCACGAGAGGACAGAGTCACAGAGACCAAGTAATTGACACCGTTGATAATGTTCTCCTTCTCCAAACTCTTCAAAGGCAGCAGAGAGGTCAAGAAGAATTAGTATGGAGTAGTGACCTTTGGATTTAGCTGTGATAAAGTCGTTAGTGACTTTGATAAGGGCAGTCTCAGTAGAGTGGAGGGGGCGGAAGCCGTACTGAAGAGGGTCAAGGAAAGAGTTGGAGTTGATGAAGCAGGCCAGACGGGTGAAGACTAGTCTTTCAAGAAGCTTTGAGGAAAAAGGAAGCAGGGATATAGGACGATAGTTAGAAGGGGAGGATGGGTCGCAACATGTTTTTTTTAAGATGGGTACAACAGTGGAATGTTTAAGGACAGCAGGAACAGTGCCAAAAGAAAGAGAGCAGTTGAAGATGTGTGTTAAGGAGGGCACAAGAGAAGAGGAGAGAGATCTGATAAGGTGAGATGGGACAGGATCAAGTGGGCAAGTGGTGGGGCGAGAGGAAAGGATAAGCGCAGTCATCTCTTGTTCAGTAGCCTGGGAAAAGGTCAAAAGGGTTGGAGAGGCATGATCCAGGTGAGGTTGAGAAAGTGAGGGGCAAAGTGGTGAGAATTCTTTCCTTAACTGTTCAATCATGTCAGTAAAGTAGCATGCAAAATTATCGGCTGTAAGTTTAGTTTGGGGGGTGGCTGAAACAGGGCAAAGAAGTGAGTTAAAGGTATCAAAGAGACGCCTGGGACTGCGAGAGCATGAGCTAATAAAAGAAGACAAGTATGACTGCTTGGCAAGGGCTGTGCTGTATGAATGCAATATGAATTTTTAGTGTAGATAAAGACTGAACAAGTATGGTTGCTTGGAAGTGTTGCCAGAAGAAAGCACCTTCTCTCTAAACGAACATGGCAGCACAGCTTAAGTTTGTAAAGTTGCATCTGAACAATCCACCAGACTTCAGGAGCAATGTCCTTGTCACAGAAGAAATTAAAATTGAGTTGTTATGCCATAATGCACAGCGCAACGTTTGGCAAAATCTAAACAAAACACAGCATATCAGCACAAACACCTCATACCAACTTTCAAGCACGGTGGTGGAGGGGTGATGATTTAGGCTTGTTTTGCAGCCACAGGACT